TCACAGGAATAAAGGAATTTGTGCTTTTGTTCATTCAGTCATAGACTTATTCATTTCCCCAGCATTGAATGAACATCTATGCTGAACACCATGAGCAATGCAAAGGTGAACAAAACAGGGTTCCTAAACTGATTTTCCCATCTTGGGATTTCACAGTCCTAGAAGAGGTTCCTCCAGGGGGAGATTCATTTATTCCACTTCCTCTAAAAGTGTTTATAAAGATTAGTAGAGAAAATGAAATAAGACAGATGCGGTTTCAAATCCCAGCTCTGCCACTTAGATGTGTGATACTTGGCACATTTCTTAACCACTCGAAGCTTCAGTTTATTCATTTATTAAATATGAATGATAATACCTATCTCATAGGATTGTTGAGGTTTACTTTAAAATAACAACAAGCATAAAGTGCCTGGATTAGTACCTGGTGCACAGTAGGAATTAAGTCAATGTTAGTTTGCTTCTTCTATCACCCTGTGTTTTCCTGATTATTCTGCTATCAGCTTGTGCTGAGCCTTGTACATCCCTGCACTCCTCACAGCTCCTACAGCATCCTTTCACACATGCCACTTTTAGTGAATTGGAGCTCAGTCTCCCACATAAGTTTGGCCCTGATTGACATTTTACGGACTGCAGGCTAACACATGCCAATATAAAAATTTCAAGTAAGCAAACTGAGGCTTCATAAAGTTTTTCACATTACTACTAATAAAAGCTAACATTTATTGACTTGAGGCAAACCATGTTCCAGGCACTATTCTAAGTGTTTTACATGTGTTACCTTATTCAATTCTCCTAAGAGCTCTATGAGGTAGGTGCTATATTGTGCCTGTTTTTGCAGCTGAGTAAACTGAGGAACAGAGAGGTTAAGTAGCTTGCTAAAAGGTCTACTGCTAACAAGAAAGGGAGGAAGGAGTTTTAAACCAGGCACCCTGCCCGCCCTGGGGCCAGCCTCTTAACCACTGCACGGCACTGCCTCTTACTGAGAGATTCCGAAGTAGTGATGGGAAGTAGTATTGAGTTGCAGGTACAATAAGAGACATCAGAGTCTACAGCCAATTCATTTGATCACAAAATGGTTGGAATTCATCAAAAGTTTATTTGATATGTTTCTGTAAGAAAATATAGCTCCATTTACAAATTGCTTCGGTTACACATAAAACCGAAGCAACACAACTAATTCTTCTGTAAGATTTGGGAGCCAGTGTTCCAGGTTTGTCTGAACTCCCTAAACACAATTTATTCATTCAACACCACTGAGCACTGTGCACATGACCAGCAGTGTTGTAATGATATGGAGACGAGAAAGATGAGTCCTGCCAATGAGAAATTCACAATCTAGGAGGGAAGACGAGAGAAATACATAAGGAAGTATAATAATAACATCACAGCTGCCCGGTGTGAAGTGCTGTGGACATGCAAGGGTAAAATAAATATCCTCCAAGATGCTTTACTTAATGAGGAAAAGGAAGAACTCCCTTTTAGAGTTCTGGAGGCATCCTTCCAGTGGGCTCTCATGAGTACATTTTTCATTCATTTCACAGTTGAGAGTTGAGCCCTGCTGAGCCAGCACCTCCCAAGATAGAAGTCTCCTTTTCTCAGCTGACTTCAAGCAAACCTGAATATTCTGCACTTCTTCAAAGCCTCCCTCTCTGTCATCCAACTCCCAGTCCTCTCAATGTCTAGCTTTCTAGAAGAAACAACATATAAGGTTGAATCAGACAGTTCTTTCCAGAGGCAGGGTCTCCATTACGTTATGGATCATTTCAGTGGAATCCTGCCCAAGGAGTAGAAGAGGAACACTATGAACCCAAGTCGCAAATGCTTGGTTTTATGACAATTTAAGTTTGCTGGGCTTGGGTTAACATAGCTAATGTTATTCTCAGAGCTGGTTTTGTATAAAGGATGGAGAAGAAAATAACCAATACATAAAAGACTTTTTTCAAAAAGCTCTACTTTAGTAAGTGGAAAACATAGGGGGAAAATGTCTTTTCATTTCATGTTAAGAGCAGAAAGAACAAAACTTCTTTAGCTTTGAAGAACAAAGGAAAAATAGGCCAGGTGCGGTGGCTCATGCCTGTAATCCCAGCACTTTGGGAGGCCAAGGCAGGCAGATCATGAGGTCAGGAGTTCGAGACCAGCCTGGCCATTATGGCAAAATCCGTCTGTACTAAAAATAAAATAAAATAAAATAAAAACTAGGCGCATTGGCGTGCACCTGTAGTCACAGCTACTTGGGAGGTGGAGGCAGGAGAATCACTTGATCCTGGGAGGCAGAGGTTGCAGTGAGGCAAGATTATGCCACTGCACTCCAGCCTGGGCAATAGAGTGAGACTCTGTCTCAAA